ACACACACACACACACACACACACACACACACACACACACACACACACCAGGAATCAGAATGACTTGGTGACTTTAGCTGGTGCATTGTAAGTTTTCCCAATATGGTTTAGTGGAAAAACGAAAAGGAAGAACGGCTTCGAAGGGATAGACAATCATTATTATCTTTTAATGGGGTATAGCTTCCAAATGGGCCAGCTCATTTAGCAATTAACGAATTGAAGGCAAGTCTGATTGACTGTGGGAGCTAAGGACTTGGAGTTAACCAGGCGCTATGTACGAGGTTTGTACAACTTCATGGATGGTGATGTCACTTATTGAAGTAAAGTAGGAGGAATAATATTGGAGGACAAAGGATACATTTAGATATGAGTGTTTCCCTTTCGGGCCTGTTAAAGTCATCTGAGTGGAGATCTTCCTTAGACATATGATGAATATACAAATCTGCTGTTGAGAAATGTTCGATTTTAAAACTAAAAAATTTCTTAAGTTCTAGACAGTTGAGTTTGTAGGAATCTGACACATTGTCATGAGTGAGCTGGAGACAGAGAAGAAAGCATCATTAGTAATGAGGTGGAAAGTAAACACTAGGTAGGTCAAATAATGCCTGAGTGGTGGCAGAGAGACTGCCAACAGGGATGGGAGAGAACTCTCAAGATGCCTGACTTGCGGGAGTGTGGAATGGATAAAAGAATAAGATCGTAGTTAAAGGAGAATAAGGTGTTGAAATGGCTTGCCTCCTTTAGTATTGGAGACACTCGAGGGCCAGTGGGACGGCTTAGTCAGTAAAGGTCCAAAACTGATGATGTAAGTTTGTTCACAAGACCCACGTGGTAGAAGGAGAGAACTGATTCCCCAAAATTGTTCTTTGACCTCTAAGTATGTGCTGTGGCACATGCTTCCCCAAAACAAACAAGTGTAATAGGGATACTTAAGTAGATTTAAAATCTGATGGAAATGATATAATAGAAAGAATTATAAAACGGTAAAGAAAACGTACAGTTGTTTTCAACTTAGGCTAGAGAATAGAAATGGATTTACAGTGGGAGTATTGCTGTAGGTCTGAAAGGGGTTAGACACAAAGGGATGTAGGCACTGATGGATCTACAGTTGTGGATATTAATGGTCTACCTGTAGAATATCAGAACCTTTAGTGATGAAGACTATGGACCAAGTTCTATAAAATTTGTAAAGTATCATTAAAATCCCTGAACCTTCCAAACTAACAAAGGTGGAAGCATTTACATGTCTGTTCTCTAGATCTACTATAAAATATAGTCATCAAAACAGAATAGAGGGCCCAGAAAGAAACCCATGCATTTATTGCCAGTTGTCTACTACAATAATGCCAAGAATATACAGTGGAAGAAGGACAGTCTAGGAAATTGTATTGGGAGAACTGGAAATCTAAGCATAATAATATAAGTGGCCCTTTTCAATATCATGCATAAAATTCATGCAAGAGGAAGCAAAGAGGCTAGGTTTGAAATTACAGAATGCTAGAAGCAAACAAGGGTAGTTTCTTGACATTGTTATTGGCAAAGAATTTTGTATAGATCTCCAAAGGGATATGAAAAACTAAGACAAATGGGACTGCATTCTAAACCCATGTGGCCAAGAAAGCAATCTACAGAGTAAAACAGTACACCATGCAGGGAGACATTTGCAAGCTGTATATTGGATAAAGGGGTTCATATGGGTAAGGAACTCCAAACTCAGTGGCAATTTCATTAACCACACTACTAGAAAATGCATAGAGAGCTGGAATAGATAATTTTCAGAGGGAGAAATATGAGTGACCAATAGGTATATAAACCCTCAACATAGCTAATCATCAGACAGACATCAATTAATATTGAGACTACTAAAAAAGCAAAACCCAGTGGACAAACACAGATTTCTGAACCTGGTGCCTTTGTGCCATTTTAACTTGCTGGGTAAATGAAGGCCTCTGTAGGTAGGGGAGGCTCCAGAGACTTGAAAGGATCTGAAACTGGGAGTTACACTTCTTTATAATTCATAATTCAGATACTTACAATGGCGTTTATTGACCAGTAAGTAAGTGGTTCATTCAATTAACTCTTTCTCTTGGTATTTCAGACAAAGGTCATTCATTAGTCACAACCCTTCTGATTTGTTTGCTATAATGACCAGTGAGACAGGCAGAGCATGAAGGTTAGTCTTACATGTTGTTAGTGACCATTTAAACTCTTACCTTTGGACATATTTGGCAGCTAGACATGATGGCTCATGCCTTTAATTGCAGCAGTGCTTTTAATTGGGAGGCAGTGGTAGGAAGATCTCTGTGAGTTTAAGGCCAACTTGGTCTTCTCAGGGAGTTCCAGTGTATCCAGGGATATTTAGAGGACCCTTTCACAGAAAGGAAGGAAGGAAGAAATAAAAGAAGAAAAGAAAGAAGGAAAGAAGGAAGGATGATGAATACACATACTTGGCAGTGAAAATATCATCTTGTTTGACTGGTTGGCACTTACTATTGTAATGTATGATTGGGTAATTTCATCCCCAGGACTCTACCCTAAAGAGGTAATTCTGTACATGAAAAACTGAGAAATATCCTAATGTTATGTAAAATGGTAACTAGTAGATACAACTGGTTGTTTAATATCATAGGCCTCATGGTCCATGGTGTTTGCCTGATGGGATATGCCAAACTCAATAAAAATAAAGATCACAAAATTATTTAGCAAGCTTTAAGTAATTTTAGTTTATAGTGTAGTTACAAAAAATGTTAAAACTATATGTTTGCTATAATTACAATGTAGTAAAAAATATAAGTTAGAGGCAATGTAGGAAACATAAAATATATAGTACTATAAAGTGGAATTTAGGTGAGATCATAATTTTATTTATTTTTTATTTTTATTTTTTTTTAGGTTTTTCGAGACAGGGTTTCTCTGTATAGCCCGAGCTGTCCTGGAACTCACTCTGTAGACCAGGCTGGCCTTGAACTCAGAAATCTGCCTGCCTCTGCCTCCCAAGTGCTGGGATTAAAGGCGTGCGCCACCACTGCCCAGCGAGATCATAATTTTAAATATTTGCTTTGTTTCCCAGATTTTGTATGAGATGTTTACATGATTTTCATTAAAAAATGATAGATGAAAGGATGGGAAGGTGAACAAACTTAGATTCAATAATAAAATAATATTACACACACACACACACACACACACACATACTTTTAAGGCAATGATTCCAAAAGAAAGTATCTGCTAGCAGCAGTAGACACACTATGTGAAAACCAATTCCTCTCATTCCCTAACAGAAAACCAACTGATCTGGTGTCTAACATAATTTCATCCCACTAAAAGGCATAAAATGGGTCACACTAGTTTATATTGAAAGCAAACTCTCTTAACTGCTGTTAGTAAGCCTGTCCTTTTCAATACTTCAGTTCATGTTTCACTTAAACAAGCCCATCATTCTGAGCCGATGGCACATCTTCAAGGAGTTCTTGAACTCGGAAGCGATTCAGAGCACACCAGCCTCAGTAGAGGCAGAGCTGGGAGTCACGGCAATCCTGGAGAAGCTAAACCAGCAGATCCCACCCAGACCTTTCCACAAGCAAAGCAGCACCACCAGCGCCAAACAGAGCACGGCCACCATCCTCAACCCTCAGCGCACATACTGTATGGGAGACCAGCTGAACGTCTGGTTGGTGGCCAAGGACTATTTTGGTCACAGGAAGGAGTATGGTGGGGACTTCCTGAGAGCCAGGATGTCCTCCCCAGCCCTGAAGGCAGGTGCTTCTGGAAAGGTGACAGACTTCAACAATGGCACCTACCTCGTCAGCTTCACTCTGTTCTGGGAGGGCCCTGTCTCCCTGTCTATCCTGCTAATGCACCCCAGTGAAGGAGTGTCAGCTCTCTGGAGAGCCAGGAACCAAGGCTATGGCAGAATTATCTACACTGGTCAGTTTCTTAATGGCACCTCCCCTGTCCTCACCGAATGTGGCTTTACCTTAAACACAAGTGCGGAGCTGTGTCAGTATCTGGATGCTCGAGATCACGAAGCCTTCTACTGCTTGAAGCTTCCGGGTGTTCCCTGTGAGGCCTTGACCCATATGACAAGCAAGAATAGTGATGTATCCTACCTCAGTCTTAAGGAGAAGCTCCTTTTCCAGAGGTAAACATGGTAGACTTTGGATCTGACCAAACTGTTGAATCCATTAACTTTGACTCACCAAACTGTCAGGTCAGTTTTGATTGAGTCAGAGTTAGGTCCATCTTCCAGAGGTAGCTCAGCTGGCATTCAGGGTTACCACTGGGACTGCTTGCTGGCTGAGAGGCGTGCAGCGGTGACGTGTCTTACACAGTATATATGCCTTGTTTTTCACTGTGTATAGTAATTCCAGATTCAATACTTCTTTTTTTATGAGCCAGTATTGCCTATAATGTATTCATGAAATACTGTCCCATGTACTATTAACTAAATGAGTAGGATCATTCTTCAGTTTACTCTATGCTTTAATCCAACCAATCAGAAACCCTTAGAAGTTGTACATCTGAATGGTCTCTTGAACTCACTCTTGTCTGTCACTGGTGTCTCTCATAGATGAGCTATGATCCGGCTTCAGTTAGATGGTACCAGTGATCTCAGGTGCTGCTCTCTGTCCTCACCCACGTTTCTCTTGATCTTTGGTCCACACCAAAGTTGATGTCTCCAAAACGTGTATACATTAATATATATCAACTTTTCCTTGCTTAAAACTATTCCTATGACTGCAGAGTTCTGAGGGTGAAACTCAGACTCTCACCTGTTCACTGGCTTCTTGTTTCACGTTCATGTTGTTCTCCTCTGGGTCAATCAAGCTGAACATCTATTTCACGAGTTGCCTTTCCAAGCCCTTGGGTCAGCTATTGTCTCCTGATGACTCCTTTGAAGAGCCTTTGGCCCCATAGCCCGAGAACTACTACGGTCAGAAGGACTTGTTTCTATGGTGTGTCCAGGAAAGCAGCTGGACAGAACAGCACCCTAGAAATTAAAGTTCAAATGCAGTTCAAACATGGGGACATAAGAAAGTAGGCCACAATTGACCTTCCTTCTCTACTAGACTCCACTTCTCTTCCTCCTTCTCTTGGTTTCCCCCCAAAATGCATGAAGAGATCTACAGCTTTGTCCTATGGATCAAATATTTATTTTTAATTTGAAAAATGATAATGGGATGAAGAGGTTGCTCAGTGGTTAAGAGCACTTAGTACTCTTCAGAGGACCCAGGTTCAATTCTCAGAACCCATATGGTGGCTTACAATAATCTAGAACTCTAGATCCAGGGGATTCAATGTTATTTTTCTGGCCACAATGGACACACACACACACACGTAGACAAAACACCCACACACATAAAATAAAAAGAAATTAAAGTTACAAACAGAAAACTAAAAAAAGAAAAGATGATCAAAGGGATATAGAAGTAAATCTTTTATTTTTGCATTGAGTATCTCAGAACCATCTCTTATCCTCAGAGAACGGGTCATTTATATTGAATTTCTGTCCTTTTTACTGGACACATCTCACCCTCTCTTAAGGTAGACTTCATCAAGCATGGATTGGAAGATCCAGCCTGACATAGTTTCCTGGTTATGTGTCAGGAAATCCAAAGTTCCCAAACGGCCGGAAAATCTATATGTAATATTACAGTATTAAAAAAAATAAAGCATGCACACATAATTATAAAAAAAGACACATTAAAATAAGTATACTTATACAACCAACATATACTTTAATCCTAATTCTAAGACAGTCTCAAATTTGGCTTTTGGAACCAAATTGACAACATGGCCAGGTCTTGATTGCTTACAGTATTCAGCCTTACCTAGGTTAGATGAAGGAGAATAAATCCTAGACTGTAATACACATTATTCTCACTTATGCTGAAAGCCCCTTCCTTGGGATTCTCAATCCCCCTTTGGTGTTGGAAAATATCTCCTTTGTCTTTCTTGGAGGTTTCTGCAGAACTGGTTTTGCAGTTCTTCCGGTCTCCGGTCAGCCCTAACTCTGAGTCCCACCTTCCTCCAGCAGCAATTCATTCTTAATCAAATAAGTCTGATTTCATACGATAAGGTCACCAGTTGGGTTTTTAGAACTGATGTCTAGAGGTGGTACTTATGAGGCTAAACGTTTGGAATATTCTAGCATACAAGAGAGATCTCATTCCTACTCTCAAGGAGATATTCAACTATGGAAAGCAGATTCCCAAAGAATTTGGGGAAGCAAATACGGGTGAGGATGAAGCATGAGAGATGGATATGCATAGGAGGTGGTATGTGGCCTGGTATTTACTCTGTAGGCCATTGAAGAAAAGTCATATAAGGGTTTTTTTTTACAGTATAATGAAACAGATTGGGCTCAAGCAAAGGACCATAAAGGTATATAATATAATAAGGTATAAAGGTATAAAAGGTATAAAATGTAATAACCTAGGTTAGTGTTGTCAGAGTAATGAATGTCCTTTTAGCTTCAGCTTCACCAAAGAAGTGAAAAAAACAAGTTCTTGAATTTGATGTGGAACAATTGAATTAGAAATTCTGAGATGAGGCTCTTCAACTGGAGAAACATTCTCCCAGAAAAAGCTTGATGAGGGCCCGAATTACTATTGTGGCAAAGATAAAGGCAATAGCTGCCATACAACAATCACACAGGAGTGTCCAACCCTAGGGCACTGTGACATGACATTGTGCTCTACAAATATGCTGGGCCACATCTCTCACTTGGGATTCATGATGCGTCAGGTTGAATATGCCTGAGAGCTAAAATTAGGGATGGGTAGCCAGCAGATACATAGATACACAGATAGATTTGGTTGATTGCATACCGAGGGTATGTGACACCCTGGATTTCCAGATTTCCCTAACATTAGGAGGGAACCCATTTTCTAAAATAGTGACCCATTTATTTTATTAGACTGCCTTAAGTGTGTCAAAAATAGCAATAACAACAACATTCACAGAAAATTAAGAGTGCTTCAATCCACCTTAACCAGAGACTCATTCTTAAAGATCTGGACAGATGTTAGAATAACTTATCTTCTCATTGCTTGAAGGCTCAACATAGGAGTTGAAGTGGTGAAGAATTTGTCCATCACGGCCTCACTGTGTAACAACAGTAAGTCCATGTGTTCTTACCAACTTATTAATGTAAATAAGTATCTTACTTTGAGACATATATATTCTACCTTAACCATTTTGAGCTCTTATTTTCTGGGACAAATGAGATACCTTGGGTTTTAAAGATGGAATTTTCTGCTTGGAAAATATTTAAAAATTTTTTAAAAATATATTTATTTTATGTGTGTTTTGCCTGCCTACATGTATGTGTATCGTGTGTGTGCAATGCTGGGAGAAATCAGAAGAGGGCATCAGAGCTCTTGGAGCTAGAAGATGGTTGTGAGCTATTGTGTGGTTGCTGGAACTGAACTGTGTCTTCTGCAGGAGAAGCAAAGTCTCTTAACCACTCAGAAAGTATTTTCACAGTAATTTTCATTGTGAATAAGATAACAAAATTCTAGGGAATTATAGCTACCTCTATTCAAAATGTTCAGGCTATATGTATTTACACTTGAAGGGGTATCCTTCAAAGTCAACAGTTGGGTCCTGGTACTTTGCTAGAATATCTCCAAAGGGTTGAGAAAAAAAATTGAACAATGTCTCCATTGTACTATAATTTTCCTTTCAGTTAAACTATGGCCCCCTTAAGATTCTACGAGCTGGCAATTCTGTGGCTCAGCTTTTTAATACATGGACTGAAATGGCTAGGACAATGTTAGCATGTTTGTAAAGTGTTTCTTGTCACCCTGGAATCTGAGTGAATTTCAGAAAAGTTCATTACTTCTCTGCCAGTCAACAGGTACACATGGACTCACTACCCTTTCTTTTCATGCATTCAGCAAATTCAGAAAGGGAAGACTAAATATTATTGTATAAAAATTATTCTGCTAAACCCAGTGGAGGGCATAGATATAAATAAGCCATGGTTCCTGCAGCTCACAGTCTGTGAGAAAGACAGACCCTTCTTCACTTGGGAAACCACTAGCCATGACCAATATTTATAAGAAAGACGGTTCTTCATCTCTTGAGGCAACTCGAGCTGTCATCACATCCTGTCTCCTGCCTAGACAGTGATTTCTATTAAAGTCGGGAAGTTTCTAACAAGATAATGCCAGGCTATTGTTGTAATTCTCATCATCACTGTAATAATTATCTGAGTCACTAACATTTCTGATATATGTAATTCCATATGGATGGACATAAGTCCCTAAATGCATTCCCTCAATCCCAAAGACGAAAATGTGCTTTTGAAGTAACAAATATAACACTGCCTATCCAAGTTTCCTCTGTTGCTGTGACAAACACCATGAGCAAAAGAAACTTAGGAGAGGAAGGTTTATTTGGGTTATGCTTCTAGGTTCCAGTCCATCACGGAGGGAAGCCAGGGCAGAAATTTAAGTAGGAACCTGGAATGCGGCCTGCTTAATATTCTGCAAAGAAATACCTCTGGCCAAAGAACTCATTTCTCAGCCAAGGAGGTATTGCAGGAGCTATGGAGAAATCTGCTTATTAGCTTGCTCACAGGGTCTTGCTCAGCTAGCTTTGTTATATAACCCAGGGCCCTATTTCAAGGGAATGGAGCCACCCACTGTGGGCTGGTTCCTCCTACATCACTTAGTAATCAAGGGAATCCAACACAGGCATGCCCACAGACCAATATGACTCTGGTGCTCCTCAGTTGAGACTTCCTTTCTCAGGTGATTTTACTCTGTGTCAAGTTGACACCTTCCTGAGTGGAATATTCAGTATGGGGTGATGAAGACAGTTTGAGCTATATCAACAGTGGAGTGTTAAGAACAGCAGGTCATGATCTCATTGTTTTTCTGCAGAAGGCAGACCACAGTGAGAATATCATGTTTGGTCTTAGACACAATGAAATATTGAAAGTGTTGTCATTATTATTAATCAGGGAACACAATTTTAGCACAAAGAGCATAGGACTCTCGTCTCCCAAGAGCATTTAAGCTCTTCCGTGAGTTAACAGCTTGAGAGTGAGGAGAGTTGATATTTCACCAAGGCCAATGTAACTGCTGAAATAGTCATCTCGCCCGCTGTTTATAGTTTCTTCTCCATGGGTGTTAGCTGTCTTACCCCCCTGGGTGGCTCTGGGGACAAGATAGATCCCAGGGAAACACTGCAAAGGTTCAAGAGAGAACAGATCCCTGCTCCAGGAAGAGCTACCAGGTAAGAACATTTTCTTCATCCCTCGAACATGATTAATATTAAATAAATATTTGTAGAAGTAAGGAAGGCAGACATAAAGAAGAAAACAAGGATGAAAAAAAAGAGGGAGAAGAAGAGAATAAAGAAACTAGTTTAAGATTTTAAATATTTTGTGATAATAAAAATTACTTATTCTGGAAGTTTTATTTATTTCTTTTTTGTTGTTGTTGTTGCTAGCGACCAAGAACAAGAAAAAGAAATGCCAGATTGGAATGAAGACTCCCTTCCCCAGTGGCTATACTTTGAGAGGAAGGTGGATTACAGCACATTGTGAACAGAATGAGTTCAGGGCGACTCAAGACATAAATAATTGCTTGGCACGAAAACTGATTTACCTCATGGGTGATTCAACACTGCGCCAATGGGTTTACTACTTAAACAAAGTTGTGAAAAGTATGTTTCAGTTTTAGTTTGAAATTATACTCATGTTGGGGAGTTTTTAATAATAATACAGTAATAATAATAACAGTAATGATAACAATAATATAATTTGCTCTCATCTGATCTTTATGTTATTACTACTTTCAATATGCCAAACTTTTGACTTTAAGCTGTTTTCATTTTTACAGATGGTTTATTATGTATTTTTTTTCTTGATGTGCATGGATGTTTTGCCTGTATGTACCATGCGCGTGCAGTGCCCATAGAACCCAGAAGAGGTCATCAGATCGCTTGGGACTGGAGTTACAGTTCTGAGTAACCATGTGGGTGCTGGGAATCTATCTTGGATCCTCTGGAAGAACAGCCACTGCTCTTAACTGCTGGGTCACCTCTCTAGTCCTAGGCTTTCAGTTTGAATACAAGCTGTATTTTAGGTGTTTAATCATAGGCACCAGCGCTGTCTCTCCTATTCATGTGTTCTAAGACCATCTTCACAAGTTTGTAAAGGTTCTAAGGCAGCTGATGTAAATTTGCTGCCTTGTCTAAGTACCACTTCTTTAGTTAGAAGTCATCACAGCCAGAGTTTTACAGATCGTGTGCACTTTTAAATGATGCTATGTCTTTTTGTTAAAAGTTTTATTGATTTGTTTCCCATCAGCCTTAAAATTTTTTGATCACCACGGAGCCGGACTCTTTAAAACTCACATCCTTCTGGATACTGAGCGACATATTTTGGTTCAGTGGAAAAAACACAGCCATCCTTTTGTTACTAAAAAGCAGTTCTCCATGAAAGATGACAACTATATTCCTCGGGAAATTGACCAGGTGGCAGGAGACAGTGGAACAGCAATTGTCATTGGTATTGGCCAGCACTTCAGACCCTTTCCCATCAACGTTTTCATCCGTAGGGCCATCAACATCAAAAAGGCCATAGAGAGACTGTTCTTACGGAGCCCCGAGACCAAGGTGATAATTAAAATGGAAAACATCAGAGAAATAAATGAAAATGCAGAGATATTCAGTGACTTCCATGGAAGCATTCAGAATCTTATTATAAGGGACATTTTCAGGGACCTCAATGTGGGTATCATTGATGCTTGGGACATGACAATTGCATATCGCAGTGAGGATGTCCATCCACCTGAGAGCGTGATTGAAAGTCAGATTGGCATGTTCTTAAACTACATTTGCTAGAGGGTCATAAGGTGGAGAAAATGTCTCCAGCCCCCCTACCTCTGTTCTCTCTAACCTCATAGGTACTTGCATAGACAATACAATCTGACACATGTGTGGCAGGAATTTCCCTGCCCAATCTGTTTTAAATATTAGTGTAGCAGGAGAACTGTGATTGAACAGGAAAAAGGGAGGCAGAACGAAGTGTGGAGAGAGAGAGAGAGAGAGACAGACAGAGAGAGTGAGAGGGGAGGTGAAAATGGAGGCAGGCATGGAGCAGCATGGCTTTAACTAGCCATAGGTAGATATGATACAAAAAAGCTAGCATGATTGGGATAACTTGTCTAAGCTGTGTTGGCATCTTACCATTATCAACTGGCCTTAAAATTATTGTGTGGGCATCTTGTGTTTTGAGAATTGTTGATATATAAATTTGTTTGTTTAATTATAAGCTTTAAGAGTTTAAATTTTCCCAGGTTACTGGGTATTGTGATATCTAACTTCTAGGTTGGCCGGGGAGCTAGGCCAGTGGGACTGAAATGGCCAGCTGGTGCTGGGCATAGTGTGGGAACTTGGTGGCAGAGCTGGGAAGCTTGCCGCCCGTCTCTTTTCTAATATCTCCTGCTACACACATGAGGAAGCGAATATTGAGAGTTGTAGCTAAATGTACATACCATAAAATTTGCCATTCAAATCACTTTTAATCCTCCAACTCAGTGGTGCTAAGTAAAGTCCTATGTCACACCACCGTTATTATAATACATGTTTTGAACAGTTTTATTAATCCCAAATGGAAATATCAAACCCATTAAACACCCACTCTTCACTTCCTCTGAGCCTCAGATCTTGGCATCTACAGCTATACTTCCGACCTCTATAAATTTGACTGTTTTAAACATCTCATATACATGAGATAATAAGAGTCACTGAACTCGTACCTGGTTTCTTTCACTTAGCACAATGTCTTTAAGGTTCAACCATGTGAAATGTATGAGAATGTCTTCTTTTTTGAAGAGTGAATATTTTTTTTTCTGTGTATGTACTATACTTTGATTTTTGGTTTATTTGTTGATGAACATTTAGTTTATTTTTGCCTTTTAGGCACTATATATCTCAGGGCTGTGGAGAGGATTACACATTTAAAGCCTTGTTTCCTCTTCTAAGTTTGATGTTTAAGTAGTAAATTATCACTATTTCTTATTTTTAAATGTTATTTGATTATTTATGTGTATGAGTGAGTGTGTCTGTTACTGAATGTCAGGTGTGTTTGAGGATGTCTGCAGAGGCCAGAAGCGGGCTTCAGATCTTTTAGAGCTGGAGTGGTTGTGGCCTGCCCGATGTGGGTGCTGGGAACTGAACTCTGGTCCTCTGGGAGTATGGCAAGTGCTCTTAACCATTCAGTCATCCCTCCAGTCACTGCTCTCCTTACTTTAAAGACATGTGCAGTCCAGAAACACATAGATTTAATGATCTGCTCAGAGAAAAGATAGTGCCTAGAAGAAAACTTCACAGGACCACAATGACAGTGTTCTTGCTTAGAAAAATTCCTTAAGATTTGATAACCAGTTGTTGCTTGGATTCTACTGTGATTCAGCAGCCACAGTCTAAAGCCTCCAAACTCACTGCATAAAACCATCTTCACATTATGGGACTATACAGACTTTAAGATTCTGATTCTAGGTGACCCAAGAAGTATGATACAGGAGTCTCTCCAGTGACCTCAGGTAACTTCATAAGCTTTCTAGAATCTTTCTCTTGATAGAAAATATAATTATCTACTTCTCAAGATTTGATATATTTTTACTAAGGATAATTCCCATGTTTGGATTATGTTTGTGAGTGAAAGCGAGTAAGACTATAAAGTTATAACATTAACGCAACGGTCAGGCCATACAGCTTTGGAGTAGACTCTTAAACAACCCACAATAAAAATATAAAAATTAAATTTTCTTTCCTTCAGATTTATTTTATGTTTAATTGGGTGTGCATGGGAGATGGTGGGTGGGTGTGGGTGTGTACATATGAATGCAAGGGTCAAAGAAGTCAGAAGAGGGTGTTAGTTAGATCCCCTGGAGCTCGAATTGCAGGAAGGTGTGAGCTGCTAGGACTCAGGTCCTTCAGGTCCTGCCCTGTCCAGTTCTTTTCCTTTCCTTTTCTTTCCTCTCCTCTCCTCTCCTCTCCTCCCCTCCCCTC